AGTCAGAGTAACCACTCCGACACACAGCTACACAACCATACAGGTCAGATGTCCATTTAAAGAAAAGCCAAGCTTCTTACTATTCACATTTAATGGTTGGCCTGGGATCAATAAGGCAGACCAATATTTTGCTACACTCAATGATACTACTGTATACCGAGTGAGTAGTATTCGTATTAATCGGCAGATCTCGAACTCTTAAATAAACAGGGGTGACACGAGACCGTATCAAGGTCATCCGACTATTTATACACTCTATTCACCCCCAGAATATCTGAGGCGATAGCCTCCTTTTGGAGGATGAGTGGCAAATGGTAGATTATAAATGAGAGTCTCCAACAGGGCTGACTGGTCTGATAAACACTGACCAACTTCACTTAACACCGCGAGCCAACAAAATCACCCTTTTCACGCTGTACCACCTTCAGCCAGTCTACACGGCTCGCCTTGACTACTGCCATTCAAGCGAATGTGGCGGCAGACTGCCCAGCCGGGTCGTCGTGATTCTCACGCGAATTCACAATTGCCCCTAACCCACAAACGGCACTCTCATGTGTTCCATACAAACCAGCAGTTGCCACGTTGGACTCGGTCCTTCAACGGCCTTGACGGCACTTCTGCCGGACGGTACACGCCCTTTCCGCGTAAATTTAGAGGAGAATCAAAGTAAACAAAAAAGGATCCTTACGTGTGGACAGAAATGCTATTCTTCTGCTTAGGATGGGATGTGACTTCCTCAGTTTATGGAAAAGATGCTACGTTTCAGAGGAAAGTTCGCGAATTGCATAGAATGACTCTGTCTGTGAAAGCGCATCATGAGAGGATGGCTGGGAAAACAATTTCCGAGCCACTTTAAAGTGTTGTCGGTGTGCATTGGTACAATTTCTGCGTTAGTCAGTGTTGGCCACCGGAAGCTTTACTCAACCATACATTCACACTTTCACTTCCCAGACATTTATGCATTCTTCTTCGTGGGACGATGACCCCATGAGGGTCATTGCGATTCATTCTGGAAGGTGAGTTTGGGTCGTTGGGGCGCACAATTTTGGGATGAAGTTCAGAGCATCCAGGGACGATCAGCTGTCGGGTTTTGTCAGCTCAACTCGACAGGTCGTGAGGAATAAATGAAATTGTTGAAAATAAATGGTCTTTCTAACACAATATTAACAGTGCCACTCATACTGATTCACGAAATACACTAAATTACAGCATCATTATTTGTTTCTGGCCGCTTTAGCCTCTATTCTCCAACAGTTTTGCAGTCTCGTGCCATTCGCTGTCCTCGTCATCATCTTGAAGACGATAATTGTTTCTGTACTCCCATCACGGACATTTGGCTCAATGTTATGCCTCTTTCTTCGGACCAATGGCCCTCGTACGTCGTAGTTAATTCGGCTTTCGGTTGTTTCCACGACCTCCTGCCCTCTTAAGAGGACATATAGGGCCAAAATGTGCCTTGCCTCGATTGGACAGGGTTAAGGGACAGGGAAACATTGACAACGAATGCTATATCAAATTGTCTTTTTCACACTTCCATGTTATAAATACGAAATTGCATTATCTATAAAAAGGTCAGAGGAGAATTTGGTATTAGTCTTAACCGGTGAAATTCGTGTACTCGGAACTCCCAGTTGTTATGGCAGCTAATTTGTGCACACTTTGCTTTGCGTGCCAAAAATACGAAGCATTTGGGTTCGCCAAGCCAAGAGTAGGTGACGAAATGGGTTTCTACAATGTTTGTTTATTGAAGATTTCTTTTGAATTCGTGCATAATTTATTTGAGCCCGGAATTGGAAGTTGGACGAAGACACAGACTCACATATGCTCTTCAGCATATATTCTGCGTTTATGTAAGTACATGTAAATGTACGTATTTTTGTGTCCCTGTATGTGAGCACATTTCTGTGCACGTGTTTGTGTGTGTGTGTGTATGCTTGTTTGAAGGCGAGTTCACCAAACCACAAAATCAAAAATGGTAGTGCAAATATATAAATATTGTTATTGTGCATATGAATGTACAGTTGAGCTGCAAATTCCTTCTTTGTGCCGGTTCAAGGGAAAATTGGTGCATATTTCATACATCTCAAATAAGAGATACAATCATGTTGGGCTGCATAGGATGACAAATGGCTGATACTTGAGATTTTTCATAATCAGTTAATTATAGCAATTACCTTCAATTATATTAGTCTCTCAGAACGTATTCTCATCCTTTTGCCAAATGATAATTAGTTTATCTCGTTCAAAAGAATTTAGGGAGGTAGCATCAGGAATAAGCTCCATATCGTGCCCAAATAGCTGATATCTCCCATCATGTTTTTGACATGTGAAATCGTGTACAATAAATCTGGGTGAGTAGCTTTTCCGAAATATGATACCCTTTTGACCCTATCCTCTTCTGGTGCCAATTCATTTAGTTTTCTGGATGAAGACCTTCAACCTCGACAACTGCATAACTCCCATTTTAAGGCCATAATTTGTGCTAGAAATTGTGTTAATAAGGAACCCAACGTGTATGGGATTCCTGCATGAATCCCTGCCATTCTGTGACTACTCAAAAGTGGATTCAGCAGTCCCATCCATTCAATTCAGTAAACTAACAACCTCTTAGGGAGTCACTTTATCTTGTTGCCAAGCCACAAATTAGTTGCCCATGTGCCTGACCTACAGTTTGGAAGGCCGAGAGCTCCTGAGTTGGGCTAACCTCTAATTGAGGCATGAAATTGTTCGTTAAAAGTGGAGTAAAAGCGATCTCACAGAATGGTTAATTTTTTTCTTACTGGACAAATAGTGCAGCACACGCAGAATAGATTAATTTATTCTGTACTCAAGAAATGACTTAAGCTTGGTGCTTTAAAGAAACTGATTCTTCACCTTCCCCACTCGCCTACAAGAAGCACTCGGTTGAAATTATAAAAGCGCTAAAATGGAAAAAAATTCGGATATTGCATGACACTGTTAATTCCCTGCATTAATGTAAAATGTTGTATATCACAAGTGTCTCTCAAATGCATCATATTAGGCATTATTACAGAAAACTTTTGAGTGGAAAACCCGCTGAGGTAGCAAGTCCTGTAAACCCCAAGAGACTCACAGAGCACAATTGCCAAGTTCAACAAATTGCCTTTCTAACTTCACTAACAATAGAAGGTCTAGCAGTAAAGCGAATATTATTTTCTTTAAAAGTGTCCAGGCCAATCCAGGACAATTGTAAGTTTATGTGAATCTCCATGAAATGTCCAGGGTATTCGATTAAACAGGATAACTTTCAGCAAATGGTGATTCATAATTTATGTTTATTTACAGTTTACTAAAAATTCAAAACAGGTTAACAGTAAACAGAGCATATATAAATGCTTGTATATCTTCAAGCTAATTTCATTATTAATCTTTGCTAATGTTGCCAAGAACTTAAGGATTAATTTACTCAATAGTCCATCTCATCTCACAGGTTATGATTGTTCTGTCTACTTCCAATAACTATGGGCTCCTTGGAGCAGGTGAAATGAATGAAAAACACTCAAAACTCTGCCGATAAGCGAATTCGATGACCAGTAACGTTGCTAAGAAATGGAGATCACATGAAATCGAAGTGAGATCCTTCTCTCTGATAGAACTTTCATAAATCCCCCGTCACTGCTGCCTCTTAAAAACCATAGACTGGCTACAGGAAACTGCTTAAAACTTTCGTTTTCATCAGAAGATGAAGTACAACGTACGGGCCAACAAGGTGTCAACACTATTTGCCATTCCATGCTAATTGTTTCCATTTTTCATTATTAAGTAGGTTTTTGAGACTACCAGTAAATCATATTTATGGGATATATTTATCCTATTTCGGTTAAGGTGATGAAGGTCTGGTAGTTGAACTTTTCCACAAGTGCATGAGTAGACATGAAGTTTTCATTGAATTTCACACACAAAAGGAATTCTCATTTAGGCTGAGGTGGACTGCAGTTTTGATCCTGAGTCTCATAGCATCCTTGAAATTCACATTTGACTCGTGACTCAAGGGAACTCGTAGTAATTTGGAGTGGTGGAGTGTGTCTGGATTATATGCTCGCTGGGGGTGCTGATTAGAGGAAATGAGGCGAGGTCGAGACAGCAACCCCCTCCTGCCTGGACGAGAACACCTTGTGGGAAGCAAGGCTATGTGAAATTGAAGGAAAACATAGGGTCTAGTGACATCATTATGGGGAAATTCAACCGCCATCAGTTTTTCAGCATCTCGAACGAAATAGGGGGAATACATTTCATATAATAGTTTTCAAATTTGTTTTAAATAAACAGAAATTAGGTATTAAAATTTATAGAAGGAGGTTGTTTTCAATTTATAAACCTATAAAAGGCATGTAAAATTCTGCTTATTTTTCATGTGTTGTCTAACGATATTTTCCTCAATTTATGGGAAAGAATTCTTGATTTTTAAAGTGAATTTGGAGATAAATGTCGAAATTTCGCAGGAAAGAAGACCTTTTTAGCCCTTGAGCATAAGGTTGATATTTCCTGCTTTAGGACTATACTGCATCCGCTGATGTAGGAAATATTGAGTCTAGGATAGCACAAAGAAACAAATTAAGGAAGTCAACAGTTCACAGTCAAACAAGCCATTAAAGCTAATCCAAAATGTGCAACGAACTCATTCATGAAGTGCTTGCTGTAAAGAAAGATGCTAATTTTGCACAATTTTCCTATTCGAGCTCTAGTTTATGGTGCAAGCAAGAAGACTTGTGGATACTTCCGGGCTAGAGTGAGGAAAAATGCCAACAGCAAAAGTATAAAGACTAAAGACTGGCTGTCCGAGATGTTTGGAAGTTGCTTCGTCCTACCGATGGACATGTTGAGGAGGTCTAACCGGTAGGGTGTCCAAACATTTGGGCGTGCCATGAAAAAGTACGAATAAAAAAATGTGTCTACATTTTGTCACGTAAACATTTTGTCAACTTTTGTTCACATGAAAGCTCATAATTTGGCCAGAGGTGCTCAAAATGTTGCAACAGAGACAAGACAAAATGGAAGAGTTGGGCCTTGCCTGCAGTCAAGTGCACCCAATCGTTGGAATTATAGTTTGTCCATTCCCATACAAGCGACCTTCCGTCTCGTTGGTACCGTGTTTGGTTCGATGGGAGCCTCGGGTCTCATAAGCAACAAACTGTGCCCATCTGCTCCATCGAGTCCTGAAGCATCGGGGAACACGGAGTGCCTCTACTCAACCAAGTTGGGCTGGAACAGAGCCATAGAGACGCACTGAAAGCAAATGTGCTCTCGCCTTAAAAGGTTCCTTTCAATCGCCATCAACTCGTGTCTCGACCTCGTCTCTTTCACATCTGATCTCCCACCGACACACCAGACGACCATGTGCTCCCAGACGTCATTAGGTCGCTTCCATTTCGAGTCTTCTTGACTCATTAGCTAGAATTTGGTTGTGACGGTGATGTCCGGAATCGAAGGAGATTGCCTCGGAAACAGCGTCAGCATGAATCTTCCAGTAAAGCCAATCGACAACTGGTCAAGAGCCGACCTTCGAATCTCTTCACCCAAACTTTCACTCGAACTGGAAGCGAGCTCAACAATTATGAAACAAGAGTCTCCTCGAAACCCAACTTTTCTTCGCATATGTCAGTAGGTCGGCCATACTCCCTTATGGGTCACATAATATGCCGGAAGGTCTCTTTTCTCTCCCACCCGTCAGGGATATTTGCTCTGTATGCCACTTCAGACGAGGTCGAACGTAGAGTCCGTCCTAAACAAGGGCATTTTTTCTCCCCATTCCGAATAACTCGACTAGCAGATATCTCGGAGGACCAACGATATGCATTGTTTCAATTGTTTTCGGAGATGAGAAAGGTGGGTACCAGTATAACACTTTATTCGTCGGTTATCTTGGACGTAACCGAAGTGCACATTACAAAAGTGGTAACTGGATGAGATCTGCCAGCTTCAAAAATATCGGTTCATCTCGGATAGTGATCTTGCCACCTCTGGTTGTCCGAGGTGATTTAGGGGTTGATAGGGGAGTTTTGCTCAAAATGAAAAAAGTAACACACTCCGAGTCATTGCATTTCAGTTGACCTTTATTGCCGAAATCTTTTTGCATTCCGAGTCTCAACAGTACTCCATATGAGATCGAGACCGGTTCTTGCACATGACTCTTCACCACACAACAAACCTCCGCTTCACAGCCACGGATGCCAGTGGGCCAGAGAGCATATGTGACTTTCAAGGCCAGCCAGGCCTCTCACAACTCCCAGTCACATCTGCCCTGTGACCCAGTTGTACCTGTGGCCATGTGGTGGATTGGGAAACTGTGTAGCCACTCGACGCTAAATTCTCTTCAAGGTTGATACGGAAGTCAAGCCTGGATAGGAGAACCTTTTTGGATGCAAAGACAATCATATAATTGGGGGAAAATTTCTTATTTTTGTGTAAAAATCACCTTAGACAATATATTGCTACTAAGTCTTTGCCTAAAATGACGATACTTTTCATATCATTGTAGAAAAATTGTACTACCAGTCCTTAATTTTCATTATGTCAACTCGTAGTATATACTCTTTGGCTGACAAAATCACAGTTCGTTGAATGAGTGGACGCAGAGAAATGTATGGAGAACCTGCTAACGACAACTCAGGCTACCAAAATGAGCCGACTAAAGAGATACATAACAGTCCTAGCAACAGCGACCACCAGGTCAAAGATGCCCTTTTTCTTTGGACGAACCGACGCCTGCACCTGATGTTGTCCGTCAGCATGTAACCGCATCACTTCAAGCTAGCCGATTCGGTGGCCTGCATGTAAAAAGTTGGATTTCGAGGAAGTTTTTAGTTCGTAATTGTTGAGCTTACTTACATTTCGAGTGAAATTGTTTGGTTAAAAGTTTCGAGCTCGATCCTACCACAAGTTGTCGATTGACTTTGCTGGAACACCCTTGTTGATGGCGTTTCCGAGGCAATCTTTTTAATTATAGTGAAAACGTCCAGAGTTGCTTATGAACTTAAACAGCATCGTTCAAGACCTTTTATTGGAGCATTAAGTCTTAGCGACCAGAGCTTGGCATTAGGCTTGCTTTGGTCACTCTGTCTTAGGACCGGTATTACGTATAGACGCTATCACACACACACACACACACACACACACACAC